AGCTCTTGAGGTTTAGAGAGATGACGTAATCTGTCCATTGTTGCTGCTAAATGCCATCTAGTTGGTTTCAATTCATAGTGACCCTGTATAGGATTTCCAGGGAGTGGCTGTTGGTTCAACACTTACCTTGTGGTTTGTAAAACTCTTTGCTATGCAGCTAATAAGTAGCAGAGCTAGGAATATCTTTTCCCCACAGAATGACAGGTGGGTTTGGTTAACAGCTGAATTCTTTAACCACTATACCACCAGGGCTCCTGAGCCAAGAAAAACCAGACATAAAGGAATGTATAAGATGATACGATTTTGTGTCAAGCTAGAGTTTTACTTCTTCCTTTCCAATCTAGATGCCTTTTTATTTCTTATTTTTGCCTATTGCCCTAACTAGAACCTCCAGTATAGTGTTGAATAGAAATGGCAATAGCAAACATCCTTGGCTTGTTTCTGATTTTTAAAGTTTTCCATCTTTTAGTAATCATCATAATTTTGTGGTGGTGATGGTGGTGGTGTGCCATGGAGTTGGTTCCGACTCATAGCAACCCTGTACAGGGTTTCCAAAGCTGTAAATCTTTACGGGAGCAGAAAGCCTCATCTTTCTCTCGTGGAACAGGTGGTAGTTTTGAACTGCTGACCTTAAGGTTCACAGCCTGACTCGCAACCATTATGCTGCCAGAGCTCCTTAATTATAATTTACCTATATAAATATTTGTAGATATTCCATGAAGTTGAGGAAGTTTCTTCAATTTCTTGTCGGTTAAGTGATTTTTCTCATGAAATTGTATTGCATTTTGTTAACTGTGTTTTGTGTATCTACTGAGATGATTATGTCATTTTCATCTTTTGTTGCTATGGTTGTACTACATTGATTGATTAGTGCACGTTAAACTAGCCATGCATTGCTGAGATAAATGCTACTTGGTTACAGTGTATGATGCATTTTATATGCTGCTAGATTCTGTTTACTAGTATTTTTACTTCTTGCATATTCATATTTTCTTATGATGTCTTCATGTGATTTTGGTTGAGTGATACTGGCCTCATAAAATGAGCTGAAAGATGTTCCCGCTTCTTCCACTTTTTGGAAGAAGTTGTAAAGGATTAAGTACTGTCAATTCACTTGTGACTCATAGCGACTTTGTATAGGGTTTTTAAGAATTATTTGGTGGGTTTGAACCGCCAACCTCATGGTTATCACTCAGTGCTTATCCTGCAGTGTCACACCAGGAATCCATGTGAAGGACTATTGTTTTGTTGTGCAGTGCCGTCAAGTCGGTTCCAACTCAAGCGACCCTGTACAGAGTTTCTGAGGAACAGCTGGTGGATTTGAACTGCTTACCTTGCAGTTCAAACTGACCTTGCAGTCCAGTGCTTATCTAACAGTGTTACACCAGGACTCTATATGAGGAATTGTTATTCAGTGCCATCAAGTCTGTTCCAACCCATAGCAACCCTGTATAGGGTTTCCAATGAGCAAGTGGTAATCTTGAACTGCCAACCTTGCAGTTCAAACCAACTTTGCAGTCCAGCGCATTAACCAGCAGCACCACACCAGGTCTCTGTATAGGGTTTCTGAGGAGTGACTGGTGAGTTTGAACTGCTGACCTTAGGGTTCAAACTAACCTTGAGGACCTGTGCTTATCCTCTAACACCACACCAGGACTCCATGTGAAGGATTAGTAGGCATCAAAGATTAAAAACTGCATGAGTGCATGAAAGTAAAAATAAGTCAAAACTAGTCCACAGTAGTAGATGACCGGCAAATGGTATCTTTAGGGGGCAAGGAGGGGATAGCATTTAGGAGAGGACAAAATGGCCTTTGGGTACCCATGTCTTATTTCTTTCCTGAGGCAGTGATGACACATTGTGTTCACATACTGGTAATTACTGATGACCACTGTTAATGTGAATTTTACCTAATTGTATAAGGTTGAGGCAAGAGGAGTGGTTCTCCCTGGGTGCAGCAGTTAAGGGTACTCTCTTTGTAGTGAATTTAAAACAATGAAACTGACTAAAAGTAAAAAATTAATCTTTTTATCTTATTGGATCTTAAGGATTTTATCATAGTATCTGTTTGGACTTAAACCTATTTTTCCCTGGAAATATAATGGGAGTCAATTTATATTCAACAAATTTGGGATACTTTTATATTGCTGGCTTTACTACATGGTACTAAGTTTCATTGAGTATCTTGTGATGGATTATATTGGACAAGATGGCACTATTGGGTAAGCACCAGACTGCTAACCACAAGCTCGGCAGTTCAAATCCACCAATCACTCCTTGGAAACACTATGGCCAGGTATAATTTGTATTGGCAAATAGGGATCTCATTTTCAGTGTAAACTTAACAGGTGGACCTTGGAGTTAATAAAATTAATTAACTGTTTTCACCTGTTTTGGGACTACTGCTAAACTGCCCTTAAGTTGATTCCAGGAAGATACATAATGAAACAAAGGTTGATATTAGGGGAACAAGCTTCATGATATGGGAGCAGAACAGTCCCATTGATCTTCTCCCCTGGCTGAGCATGTGCTGAATGCTTAATTAAGGCTGATTGGTTAACTGAATACGATAAAGAAAATGGTACAGGTAGCCTCCATTCCCCTGGCCTCGTTTCCAGGCAAGTCTTTGTC